CCGAGACACCTCCCGGCCTGCCCTGCCGGGATCTGACCTGCTCGCCTCTGGCATGCCCCATCCCCCTCTGGGCAGGGGGCAGCGGCCTCCTGACTCTCCTAGACCGCCCTGTGGTTCTGGGCACACCGAGCTCCGGGGGGTGTTGATGGGAGAGGGACAGTAGCGGTCACTGTGTGGAAGACCGAGCAGGCCGGGCGCGGCAGGGCCGGGCCACCCAGCCCACCGCCGGCCACTCGCCCGCAGCATCCGCCAGCTGAAGGAGCGTGTGGCCAACCTCCGCGGCAAGCACAAGCAGGTCTACAGCCTGGCAGTGAAGGAGGTGGACCCGCAGGTCGACTGGGCAGCGCTGGTGGAGGAGAAGCTGGTAGGCCGGGCGGCAGCCCCGGGTCGGCGGGCGCCACGGCTCTGCCGGGGGGGGGGGGTCGCGGCCCCTCTGCTGGCCTGCTGGTGACCAGCGGGAGGCTCAGAGAGGCACAGGCCCTCGCCCAGTGCCACACAGCCGAGGACCGGGCTCGGGCCGCTGGGGCCCTGGCCAGCCCGTCTCCACCGTGCACACCGGGGAACCGCGTGGGACCCGGGAGCGGGCCCCTCTGAGTCCCCGTGGGCCGCGTGGCCCCGCTGCCCTGCGGGACACGGTGGCTGCGTGTCTCTGCAGGACCAGCTGAGCAGTCAGGGCTTCGGCACGGACCTGCCGCTGGTCGACCACCAGGTGGAGCGGCACAACATCTTCCACAACGAGGTCAAGGCCATTGGGCCCCACCTGGCCAAGGACGGGGGCAAGGTGGGTGCCAGGCAGAGGAGTGGCGTGGCAGGGCGGGTGCGCCCCGTGCCCGCCCTCACCCAGGCCTCTGTCCACAGGAGCCGGACAGCGAACTCCAGGCCAAGTACCAGAAACTGCTGGTGAGACCCCGGGGACGGGCCGCCTGGGTGGCCGCAGGTGCAGCGACAGCACCCTGCTGTCCGAGAGGCGCCCGGGGGCGCCCCACTTGGCCCCATGCTGCGGGCGGCGCCGCACAGACCCGCGGCCCTGCTCTCGGTTTGCGGCTCCTTCCTCCGGGAGGCGCCTCCGGCGCCCTGCGTGGGCCACGTGCTTGCCGGCAGGGGCGCGGCCCCAGGACCGCGAAGCCCTTTCCAGAGCCTCCGTGTGCGGGAACTGCGGGCGCCTGAGGCCCGGTGTGAGGGCGGCACGGGACCTACGGCAGCCCTGGGAGGCGACGCCGCC